ACCAAAAGAGTATAGTTGCTTCAGAGAAGACTTTGTATAAACAAGAAATGTTTTAAGTGTTAAGCCACTATGATTTGGGGGCTTCTTGTTACCACAGCTTAAGCCTTGCCCATCCTGAATAATATACCCCATTTACACCCCAACCCCACCCTAAATCTACTTCCTACATCTTGACCTCTACCTCCACACCCATTTGTCTGACAGGTTTCTTATCAATCTTCAGATCATGGACTCATCTGTTCCTCAGAGTAGCCTAATAGTCATCTCTTCTTAAGTAGGTCTCACCTTTGGTATCCTCTATTATTGAGCCTTGTTTTTTCTTTAAAAGTATTCCCCTCATAATTTATAATTACATATTTACAAATATGTCCATTTGTTTTTTCCTTGTCTCCACTACTAGACTGTAATACACAAGGAATCTCGGTTTTATTGACCTCCCCCCCCCAAAAAAAAAAAGATAAACTAAGGCTTAGAACATCACTAGGTCTTAGAATACTGTATTTTTTTTTTAATGAAGGAACATCGATCCATCAAAAGAACTACATATAAGTAGAAGGAAGTTTGTTGTTCCTTAATATGGACAATGGCATTAGGAGAAAGATAAATTCCACTGGACTAATTGCTAAGCTAGAAGTCTGTACAGACTTGACAACAAAAGTATTGTACACAGAAGAAACTCGAGGGCATAAAAAATTCACATCTAAGAGGAAAATCAGCAAAGTCTTGGGCAAGAACTGAAAACCAGAATTACTATTATACTCTGCTGTTCTGGTAATCTTGTCCACAAGCACCAGTGGTCTTTCACAGCAGGAAGGAGTGGGGATGAGGTCATGTGGAAGACTCTGGATCTGACAGGAGCTAGGACTAGACAGTACATTAAGTAAAAAAGAGCAAATATAAATACCTAAGTCCTATACCAGACATTTAACATTTTTAATTTATCCTGTACCCACTGTCTCCACACACACACCTTCCTCATAGCATCTCCTCTTGGGGATAAGTCAGTGGTGTGTAGTCTTAGTGGGAGAGTACCAAGTGCCATCTCTCACTACCATTTCTAATTTCAGAAGGTGGAGTCTGTTCCTTCCTTCACTAGCTCCCTGGTATACCCTGGGACGAGGCAATCAAACACCACCCCTAGGACTGTAAATCCCAGTGAGTGAGCAATGCAAAGGAAGAGGGCACAAGGAGAGGCCAAATCCACTTCAGCAACTCAGGGCCCAAGAACCAGGCACCTCCTAAGTTGAAACCTTGGTTAACTAAGGTCCTGATGCCTGAGATGCCCCATATCTTGTCACCTTTTTCATATTCCTACAGCCCCAAATATCCTTCCTGTGAATTCTCTTTTGATTTAAGATATTTAGGGTAGGTCTTTGTTGCAGGTAATCAAGAACTCAGACCAAGGCTGCTATATGCAGCTATCTTAGCTGTACATTGTAAAAGAGAACTCAGCAAAAGAAACTGTGGTGACTGAAATCTAACCTGTGCTCCATTTGCTAAGCTTGTGGGACTATACTCTGCTGAAGAAGGAAGTAGTATTTTCCAGTTTCCATAGTGGCATTTATAGGTGGGCAGTGGCCCTACCCATGACTGATAAATTCCCATTTTTCAGTTGTAAAACAGAGGCCTAGAGATTAAGTCATTGACATATAAACTATGACTACAATAATGCAATGATACTACATTGGGCTATATTCCATTGTCTTTCTCTCTACCTACAGATTGAACCATGTATTTATTCCTTCAGGGGAAAAAGTGAAAGAGCAAGGAATGTTCGTGTACAGTCCATCCTTCTGTAATTGTGCCTACTCATTTGCATTCAAGTATTAAAAGGGTTGGAATTTTAATTTAAAATATATTTAGGGGTGCCTGGGTTAGTCACTTGGTTCAATGTCCAACTCTTGATTTCAGCTCAGTTAATAATTCTGGGGTCATGGAAGACTGGAACCTGCTTAAAATTCTCTCTATCCCTCTTCCTCTGCCCCTCCCTCCACATGTGCACTCTCTCAAATAAAGTAAATAAATTTACAAATATTTAACATTCTGTGCTATACTAATTTTTAAATTAATCCTTCATACTCATCACCACTGGCAGAAAAACAACTCGAAGCAAATAACTTACCAAGTATCTTTAATTTCCCATAAACTAAATTTTCCCAAATTGATAGATATTGTGGAAAGGGAAAGATCTCAAATTACACTGTCCAAAGCTCTTATTCTAATCTCTTCAATTTTCCCACTATAGTTTTTACATTTCCCACATGTCTTTTCCCCCCAACTTAGATCACAAATCTATCTGGAGGCTCTGTGGGCTAGTATGTATACTGGGCCTGGTATGTACATAGAATTTATTGTTAACAAGAAAACTAGAGCATCACCAGTTCTTCCATTAGGAATCTAATAGTTATGTGCCCTTTCCTTTTAGCATCTTAAATCCTGCAGTCTTCTTTTTCATGTTACTTTGAGATACTGATCAAAATCTTTTGGTCCTGCTTCTCCTCCCCATAAAAGAAAATTAGATTTATTTTCAGTTTTAATCCTGATAAGACAAAGTGAATGAGCTATTTTCATTACTGTCTAGTCATTCCATCAACCACTGAAAAGAATCACTAAAAGTAATCAGCAAGTAAGGTCAATAGCACTCCACAAAGGGCCAGGGCAATGGTACTTCAGCAGATCAAAATGAAGACTGGGAAAAAGATGGCAGTGCTTCACAGTTCTAAGGAAGCTGCCTCTAACCAAGAAGAGAGAAGATGATTGAGGGAAAGAAATTATCTTTATTATGTAACAGGTTTCCTGACACCAAGCTTGTTAATGTAACAAAGAGCTAAGAATTTTGTTTGGGGGTTATGGTCACCATCTCTCAGTAAAGTGACAGGTTTTGGACTTTAAGACAAAGAGCCTAAACTTTCATAGGTCCTGTTCTTCTCTAGCAATTTGTATTGTCATATCCAATAAAGAATTGCAGAATCTTTCACAGACATAGATACCAGTTGGGGTTAACTGGTTGTAAATGACAGAAACCAACTTTGCTTAAGTGAAAGGGGACTTTAATGGAAATAAGAAGTAAGAGAATCCAAGGTGATGCTAAAGTGCCAAGCTTGAAAAAGAATCCAAGATGCTCTGGGAGGGTCTCAGAAGCAGAAATGAATTCTGTCAGTTTTTGCTGTCTTTTTATCTCTCTGCTTGAGACAGAAAGTCCCAAAGAAAACTGTCTAATTGACTTAAAATTCGCCATATGCTTTCATCCTTTCGTTTAGGGCTGGACAGGGAACCTTAATCTCTGGCCTCATGAAGACTGCAGAAAATGAAAGTGGAGGGGGGTGGTATTTAATTACTCATAAGGAAATCTGGATATTGTTATCAACATAAGGGGCAATGTATTACGGGTGGCCGAGTTGAAACCAATGTCCACTATGGTGTTAAAACATAAATTATTTTAATCCTAAAAGGCAGGAACCATCTATTCAACTTACATTAACACTGTATAGAACACATATAGATTTTGTATATAAGCTACCAGTTTACTTTCAGTAACTATACAGCACCTGATATATGGCAACTGCTCAATATTTTTTTAAATGAATTTCTCCTTCAGTATTATTTGTTCTTATCCTTTCCTTTATGCCATTTATACTTTCTACTATTTAAGAAATATTCCTTATTCTAGACTGACGATGTAGAACCCCCGAAAGAAAGTTAAATGCAATGGAAAGAGTACTGGAGTAGAATCTTTTTGCTTCTGCCTTATGTGACTTTGGAGACAGGTCATAACTGCTTTGGGTTTATTTCTTCAACTGCAAAATGAGGTGGTAGAGGTAGATGCTCTTTAAGAATCTATCCAACTCTATAAATCTAATATCATGGTCACAAATACATAGATGACAAATACTCAGCAAATTTAGGAAAAAATGTTTATAATTTTCACAGTATGTAGTGGTTTTACCCTGAATCTGGACAAAAAGCAAAACCTAACTTACCTGGTAGTACTTAGGAGAAATTGCCAATATCATAGAAAATCTAGATCACTGTTATCAAACTTTAAAGAAAGGCAGCAAAATCTATTTTTTCAAATGAAATCTTACGTTGAATCCCAATGTCTAACACAAATAAAGGTCAAAAAGCTCCAAATGAAACAAGAGGGATGTGTGGACCCCATCTTTGCACATTCATCTACAAGCTCCCTAGGAATACTATTAGACATTATTCCTCAAATTCCTAAATATTCCAGACTTTTCTGTACTTTGAGGATTACCTATCTCAGACAAGAAAAATTAAGGAATAAACTTTACATGGAAAAGTACATAAACTCTCTTTCAATGGCTTTAAAAAGAGACAATATTTAGTCTATCAACAATTAATATTAATTTGAAAAACAAAATAAAATCTAACAGCAGTTAACCCCTATGCTACTGTCAATCAGTAATACACAGACTGAGACTACTGTTATCGGTGAAAACTTAGCTACCAAAATGTTTTACTAGACTTATTTAACAAGCTAATCTGAAAATATGAAGTAATCTCTCATATAAAATCAATAGCACTTAAAACTCAGCTTCTAATTTTTACACATTTTAGCAAGACATCTAAGATCTGTTTTCCCGGCAGTCCTGTTTCAGAGGAAAGATACAGGTCTCCAAAGCCAAAGTAATTAAGTGTATCTATATACCCTGCTCTTAATTACCAAAGGGGAAATTACTGAAAAATATTAAATGACATAAACACAAATTGTCATCTTTGTGGTTAATAATAGTGACCTCCTTAGCCCTAGCAAGAGAAGCAATGCTCTTTTCATAAAAATCTGTCCATCCCTTTACTTGGAAATATCATCAACAAAATCATTAAGACCTATCCTACTAACTTAGACCACAGGTTTCTATACATACAATGCCATGAGTCTTTGAGTATGAGATCTATAAAGTTCAAACATCCTATTTATCTTTATTTACTTATTTATACATAAAAGCACATGATTTCATCTTAAGGATTACTCTTAAAAATATAAACAAGATTCATGTGATTAGTTTATTGAATAGCTACTGAACAATGATGTCATATTTTGGTCAAAGCAAGAAGTTACAAAGTTTTTTTGCAAGACATTCACTGCAGGCAACAATGGAAAAGTTATTTCACAGGCACTGGTGATCCTACTGACCTCTTCTGGCAGGATACAAGGTTTGATTGTCTAGATACAACCAATGAGATAATATGGCTTATTACATGGATTTGTGTCTTGTAACCAAGAAGGCAGAAGTCCTCTCATTGTTTAGGAAAAAAAAAATGTCTACTCTGTTTCCTGGTCTATACTGACTCTGCCAATCCTTCTGAAGGCCTGTCTTGGAGGATGAGGACAAGCATTCCAGGGACCAATCAGTGGAAAGACCCCTGGTGTGTTCAAGCATTTGAGTATAATGACTTTCTGCTTAGTGATTTAGCTTTAATTTACTCTTCAGAAGTGACCAAAGTAAAACATTACTGAAAATCAAGTAATGTAACTTGACATAGGAGGAAGCCAATCATATTGGGCTTTATAAGGAGTTTTAGGCTGCTTTAAGGAGCACCTGAAAGCATTTGAAGAAAGGGGTGACATGATCTAAATTTTAACAAGATCCCGGTTTTCTACAGAAAAAAAATGTAGGGTAGAAAAAAAAAAAATAGGGAAACTAGTTAGGTTATCATTGCAGTAAATCCTAGTGCCTGATGGTGATGGTTTAGATCAAGATACTAGGAAGCAGGAGTAGATAGATTCTGAATTTATCAGTTGTTTTTGGATACAAGTAACCAAATATTCAAACTAAGGTTTCTTAAATACAATTTGTATGCTTATTTTACAGGAAGCTTAGTGCCAGAGCAGCCTCAATGATATTATCAAAGAATTGCATTCTTCCAGATTTTCTAATCATCTTAAGCCTTAGAGTGGAAGTTGTTAGATGACTGCTACTAGCAATTGAAACTACATGCTCCTTATTCATACCAAGAGGGAGAGATTACTTTATGTGTCTATTTCAAAAGCCAGGATTCCTCCTTGCCAGATGCCCTTAGCCCTGTTTATTGACTCATATCTCAAGCTTGTCCATCCCTCATCCATTCATTTGTATGAGAAATGGAGTTGAAACTGACTAAATTATCAAGCAGAGCCCACTCTAACTGGGAATGGGGTTGACTTGCCTTGAGTCACATGGCTTATGTGAAAAAAGGACGAATACTTAAGGGAAAAAATGATTGTTAGAAAAGAGGAAGGGGGAAATAGATGCTGGGTAGACAACAAGCAGTGATGTCTATGACATGGGATATGCATTGAAGATGTTGACGGAACTTGCCAATAAATTAAATACTAAGAAGATTCAGAGCAGTTCTTACAGCGTTGGGTTTCAGCAACTGGGAAGGAAGTGGGGTATTTACTGATATGGGAGAGACTGGAAGAAAAATCATATTTGAGAATAAAGTCTTCTGTTTCCACTCTGAACTTTAAGATATCTATTAGATACTGTTCAAGCTGTTAGTGGATATAAAAGCTTGCAATTTTAAGGAAAGGGCAAGACTGAAAACAGAGAATGAAATTACACATATGGAGATTTCTCTTTCTTTTATGCAACTGAGACTGAATGAAATTACTAAAGAGATTATAGTACGGATAAAGCAAGAAACAGATACAGAACAAAATCTAAGCCCATGCCAAGATTTAGAGGTGGAATATAACCAGAGCCATTAAGGCAGCTAGGAAACTCAAGCCAAACTTCCCAGCACCGTATGTGTGGGTAGACAGAGAATAGGGTAAATTGTTAGCTCTCTGCCAAAAGGTACAGGGTAGATCATGATATGCCATAAAAAGGCATTATTAACATCTTAGAATCTTTCAAAAGAGTGCTGTTGGCTCATTATCATAGTTCTCTTAATTAAACATGAAATGGAAGTAGGCTAAAAAAACATGGCATACAATGGCAATAATTCTGATCCAAGAATTTTGAAAATTTAGAGGAACTTGAATTCAAAACTATTTCAAATGGAATTAAGTGATTATTGAAAATGAGGAAGGAAAAATAAAAACAAACTGGATTCTAGTTTTTATCTGACAACCTATTCACTTCCTTATTTCCTCTGAAGCTGTTTTCTATTTGATGAAATGTTCACAATAGATAGGCTTTTCCTGCCTGCTTTGGCAGGGCTGTTATGAAGATCAAAAGCTAAAGAAGTTGATTAACTGTAAAATCCCATAAAAATAATTTTCTTCAGCTGCTTGACTAGTCTCACTTTCAACCATTGATGGCTTCATCATCCTGATGCCAAATATCAATTTCTAGGTACTCAATCCTTAAGAAGAAAATGCTTTAATTCTGAAGTTTCATTAAGGACAAAACACTATATAACTAGTGATAACCCATTAAAGCCTCTTCCCAATTCCTCTAAATTTTCAAAATTGGACCTTGCACCAATTTAAAGTCATGAGGTGGTCATCCCTCTGGGTAATGATCTGACACTGTCAAGGTGACCACTGATACAGGGTCTAAAGATAGTCACTGACTACTGAAAATATATACACCATCAAAATATTTGTGCACATGCCTCAATAATAGCATGATTTCCTGTGCTATACTACAGGATTACAAATATATAAGATGCTTTTACACTTTCCAAAGTTCTTTTTATCTGATCATTCAGCAGTTCTGTAAGGTAGGCAAGGCAGAATTATGCCTGTCTTAGGAGGAGAAAACTTACTTAGGTTCAAAATCATTTTGAGGCATAAATTATATTTCAGGCACCCAACTCTATTTTGGTGTCAATACTACATCATGTTACATGCATTTTACATTTTAAAGTACTCAACAGTTCTAAAAGCTCTCCTTCTAAATAAGTAACACATTCAAGTTTGAGAATATCCCAATAAAAACTGTACATTAGCTTCATTGTATATCTTAACAGAAAGAATCTTTTACCAACTAAATTCTATCTTCCACTCACAAAAGTAGATGTGGCAACAACAATCATTTTGCAGAAATTTAATTATATTAAATGGATCTACTATGTAGTACCTGAGAATATGCCTGTTAACAAAGTATCTTGATCCTACTTCCCCAGTTTTGACAAAGGACACTGTTCTTAGAACTATGATCAAACCACTTGATTTTAAGTACTAATAGTACTCTATCAACTTTTAATACTATTATTAATGGCTCAGGAGCTAATTACAGCAATTGAAAATGATTAATATTTTTAAAACATATGTTTTAAAGGGTCACCTTAGAGATGTCAGCAAATGTGTCCTGAGCTTTCAAAATACAGATGAGATTAAGGTTAAATGTAACTTAAAAGAAGTAACCTTATAAATAAGATTCACATTAAACTGATGTGGTTAAATAAAGGTAATGAATTGGAATCAGATGAATTTACTGTCTCTATATAATAAAGTCCTGGAAAATCATTAATAGTATGAGTAAATTAATGACTAGAAGTAAAAGATCAAGACTTCTGAACCAAATAAAGATTAGATCAAAACATTTATTTTGTGTGTTACAAAAACAAAAAATAAATCCAAGAAGCTAATGAAATAAACATATTTCTTTTTTAAGTGTCCCATCCTGGGTTCTCCATCCTCGAATTTAATAAACAGTTCAAGTTTAGGTTGCTTCAACACTTCTTCTGGATGCTATGAAGTCTCCATCTTATAACCATGTTTCTCTAGTTCAGCTCTATAAAAAAACACAAAGCAACAAAATCACCAGACATTCTTTATGATAAAGAAACAGATTTTTTTTTTTTTTTTTACAAATAATATGATTAATAAAAACAATGAGCTAAAGCCTAGGCACCAATTTAAAATACTACCAAGTAGCTTTACTTTACTCCCTTAAAAGAAATCTGTATTAAGAAGGAAACTGAATGTGAATCAACATAATGCTAATAAAACTCTGCTTTCCCATTAGTAAACTTATTATTTTATATTCCTTAGTTTTCTGGTAAGTCTATTGATGGAAAAATATGAGAGATTTGCTATTTTCCAAATATCTTCAAAATACCATACAAATGTCCTATTCATAATAAATATCTAAACAAATTTTAAGAATTATCAGCCAATATGGCTAAGAACACAAGATACTTGGTACCAAACTTTTAGGAATTTTATAATCATAATAGGTATCACTGTTATTTACACCTAAAGAATAAACAGACTGCTTTTCATACTGACATGTATCTATTGCTCTAACCAAGATAAATATTATTAATCAAATTTAAAGGAACATGCCAATTTTATACATTAACTATATGTAGGCAAATCTATATATAATAAGTTATAAAATACTAAACAAGACTTTACCTTTTAAATTTTAAATGTGGATAAAAACCTCAAAAATTTATAATAAATACTTTTTTATAATTTTAAAGATACTGTTTATAATTTTTTTGATACTGTTTATAATTTTAAGTGATTTATTCAACCTCAAGTTTCAGTCATACTTTGAAAACATCAACTGCAATTGTTGATCTGTCTTGTATAAAACAGATGCACAGAAACGTTTAGCCCTGTAATCAATTTCAGCTACTTAAACTACCACTCCAAATATGACCAGTTAATTTCTCTGCCACAATTCAATTTTATAGAAGTTTGCAACAAAATTATTTCAGGGCCAAAATATGGCAAAACATTGTGTAACTGTAAAGTATGATCACGTGCCCTACCCCACTACATACAGTAAGATAAATTGACATCTGTTCTCAAGTATAACTTAGCTTGGACATTATCACACTATCCAATGTAAACACAACACAATAAACACATGGTAGGAATGATGTATAATACATATTACTCATTTCCTCAAGTTTCACTAAAATGTTTACAGTTATTAATAATACAAATATTGGCCTAAAGTCTATGAATTATTTAGGCCAGAGATTACTGATAGAAGACATTTTTGTCTTCTGCTTAGGTGTAGAGGGTGGTATGGGCTGGTGGTAAAACACCCATTTAGGAGTCAAAAGATGAGAGTAAATTTCTGACTCTAACCCTTCCTTTGCTAAATTTAACCAAAATGCTTCCCTTGCCTTCTGCCCCTTTTCAGGAAACTGAAGGTATCTGTCCTTCAGGTTTTCTACTTAAAAACAACAAAACATCCCTGAAATTCAGCTTACAATTTAGTTAACAAGTACACCAAGTCTGTCCAGGTTTGTGCTTGCCTTCCTGTCAGAAGGTGGTGACTACACATTTAGAAACTGTTTACAAACACAAAGGAGATTATGATATGCTTCTCTGTTAGCTAAATTTTTAGAGAAGATGAAAAGTTTTTTGTAAGAGATAACTTAGAACTTTAAATAAATGAAAATAAGTCAAGGCCACTAAATACAAAACACAAACCAAGACGAACACCCTAGTATCATCAGCCTGGCGAGTAAAAAAAAAAATCCAACAAAGAGATGAAAGAGGAAACAAATCCAGCACAACTGGAATATCATCATAGGACCCACATAGTGAATGTACACTATTTGATTTTTTTTTTAAGAGAGAGAGAGCACGAGCTGAGGAGGGGAAGAGAAAGCGAGAGACATAGAATCTAAAGCAGGCTCTTGGCTCTGAGCTGTCAGCAGAGCCCGATGCAAAGCTTGAACTACGAGACCATGACTTGAGTCGAAGTTGGATGCTCAACAATTGACCATCCAGGCACCCCTATGAATGTACACTATTTGAAACAAAAATGGCAGCATTTCTTTTTCAAGAAAACAAGAATAAGACTAGGAGCCACTGGTTGGTTTGAGAACTCCTTTCATTATCCAAGAAACTACTCTGCTATAGGATGGTGTTTATATGTGACATAGTAAATCAAGAACGATATTGGCTTCTTGGATTTCTTATGTAACATGTACTGCAAGGTTAGGAAAATCTCATAATCCTACCCATTTCTACTGAATATGTCTCCAAGTAACTCCAAGAAGTAGAAGTAAAAGTCATTCCGTGTTTGTGTTTCTGACACCTTTGTTTCTCTATAATGATTTATGGTTACTTGGAGACACAGGTGACCGTTTTCTCTCTACTTCTATACATTTGTTGTAATTAGACTGAAGAGAAAAACATGGAAAGTGGCAAGCTAAGCCCTTGCTAAGGTATGTAGCTAATAAAAGGCAGATCTGAAGTTGGGACCCAGGGAATCAGCAGGACTCTAGAAAATGTACTGCCTCTCCAAAGTTAGAGGGATTAAGACCTATATATAATATCTGAATGCAGTAAAACATGTTCTTTACCATACTTTATAATATTACATTAAACATCTATATATTTAACAGACTGGGAAGAATATCTCTAGAGACTTGTTGTAACTATGACAATTTTTTTTAAAGCAAAGATAAAAATATTGTATGAGGCTTTAATGTCTAATATAGTAGTCTCATGTGGCTATATATTAAAATTAAATTAAAAACTCAATTCATCAGCTGTACATTTCATGTGCTCAATAGCCATATGTGGCTAGTGGGTTTTGTACTGGATGGGGCAGCTTTATAGAACATTTCTGCCAGTACAGAAAGTTCTATTTCTTGGCACTGGTGATATATCAATACCCATGCAGAAAAAACTCATGACTCAAACAGAGAAAGGAAAATCTTATTCACTAATAAAAGTATCAGGATTTATATTCTTAAGGAAATAAAAAAACCTAAAGGTAGAACACAAGAAAACATAAGAGCACTGTGTAGGTATATTATACAAACACAAGCCACAAATATTATAAGAATAATGCTCCATTTCCAAACCAGTAAAAAGGCAAGAAGCAGTCATGACAAAATATCCAATTATCAATATATTTACTACTAAAAGATTCCTGATGCTTGTATTTAATAATGATTTAATTTTTAAGAGAAAAGTGCTATTTTCTGACTTTGAAAGACAAAAAAAAAAGAAAAACACATTCTGGAGAAATTTGAGTTTCTTTGTGAACTCATTTAGCTTCAACTTGAAAAATTTCTAGGTAACAGAAAAGGAAAAAACTGATATATGATTAAGAACTCAGAGGCGCCTGGGTGGCTCAGTCAGTTAAGCGTCCGACTTCGGCTCAGGTCATGATCTCAGTTTGTGGGTTCAAGCCCCACGTCAGGCTCTGTGCTGACAGCTCAGAGCCTGGAGCCTGTTTCAGATTCTGTGTCTCCCTCTCTCTCTGCCCCTACCCCACTCATACTGTCTTGCTCTCAAAAATAAACATAATATTTTAAAAAAAATTTTTTAAAGGTAGCAAGAGTGTTCTCTGATGTTGCTCAGTTTTAAAACAATATAAACCAAAATGCAAACAGAAAGGAGGCAAAAATTTGTACACACAGAATTTAATCGCAGAATGTATTAAGAGCTATACAAAGAACAAAAAGTGCTTTGAAGTTCATACATGAATAAACAAGAATGAGGACAGATCCAATGCTTGGAATAGATATTAACAGATTTAGAGAAAAAGCAGAATTATTGCTTAACAGCTATTGTTCCTATATTGTTCATAAAACTGCATCAGGAAAAACATCATTAACACAAAAACGAAAACTAAGACAGGTGAGATAACTCTAAACTGCATTAAAGTAGTTTAAAAATCTCTAGATTCTGAATAATTACATCTCAGGGTACTGAAAAAAACAAAAAGATATAGTCAAAAACAGTCAGCCATTTTGAGAAATCATGCAGAATTGTAAAAGTACCAGAGTAACAGTGAAAGGTAAATTGTGCTATTTCCAAAACGGGGAGAAAGGTGATAGATACAATTGTTTAGTCTCCAGCAAAGTACTAAAATGTCTTCAGAATATAGGGTTTTTGAGGCCATGAAAAATGCAGTGTAGGACAAAAGGTACTGCATTATTATTAAAAATTTTAATTTATTATAAGTCATCTTTCTTTCTGAATATACTAGACTAGAAAATTAGAAGATTGCAGTAGAACTGCAAGACCTTGATTTGAGCAAAGTATGTGACAGTTCACTTAGATAATTTTGTGGCCATGACAGACACATATGGGTTGAATCAAAATAAAATTAGGAAGGAAAGAATGGTCTCTACAACAAATGGTACTGGTATTACTGGATATCCACATGCAAAAGAATGAAGTTGGACCCTTATTTAAAACCACCTATAAAAATTAATTCAAAATGGGTCTTAGACCTAAATGTAAGAATTAAAATTCTGAAACTATTAGAAGAAAACATAACGGTAAGGTTTCCTTGGATTTGGCAATAAATTCTTAAAAAGGAGATAAATTGGACTTCATCAGAATTAAAAACTTTTGTGCCAAGAACATTATGAGAAAACTGAAAAGACACACAGAATGGGAGAAAATATCTGTGAATAATATGTCTGAAAAGGGCTTAGCACTCAGAATATATAAAGAACTCTGGGGCGCCTGGGTGGCTCAGTCGGTTGAGCGTCTGACTTCACTCAGGTCATGATCTCACAGTTTGTGGATTCGAGCCCCACACTGGGCTCTGCGCTGCCAGCTAGCTCACAGCCTGGAGCCTGTTTTGGATTCTGTATCTCTTCCTCTCTCTGACCCTCCCCTGCTCACACTTTCTCTCTCTCTCTCAAAAATAAGTAAAACATTAAAAAAATTTAAAAACAAAAAAAACTTTGACAACGAAAAGATAAAAATCCCAATTTAAAAACAGGCAAAGAACATGAACAGATTATTTCTCCAAAGATATACAAATCACCAACAAATATATGAAAATAGGCTCATCATTAGTTATTAGGGAAACGCAAATCAAAATTAAAAGAACTACTGAGCTATATAAAATCTGACTTAAAACTTACCGTAACTGATTGGAGAAGTCATCCTCTACATTGTCATCATCCCAATTATCCTCCCAGACATGTGCATCTTCATCTTCATCTAAACCAGCCCAGTCTAAAAGCAGAAACAGATGCTGTCTAAATACTTCTCATATGTTATTTCCATAAATACAAAAACTTCAGAAAGTTTGCCACTAAAGACTCTCACAATTCAAAACATCTAATAACATATTTGTAAAAAACAAAAAAAAAGTAATCTTCCTCTTTAAATCTCAATTTACGCTGTCTTGTTCTCAGTTCTTGAATTTGCTGATAATCTAAAACAGAAGTTAATTCAAAAAATTCTATTTGTCATGAAAATTTAATATAATTTCAGGAGGATTATTTACTTTCCTGATTTTTCCTTGGGCTGATTTTTAGAAGGTCTATTTCACAATCTTTAACAACAGCACCAACAATGCTAAAGCAAGCTGAGTAGCAGAAGATACCAGCCTGGAATTCAAAACTGCTAAACCTAAAAAAGGATGACTCATACCTAAGTATGAGAAAAGTAGACTAAATGATAAGTATCACTAACTTACATAAGTATCATTAACATTTACCTACTATTAATATAAAATTTTGATTTTTTAGAGGAAGCACAAATACAAATATGCACAAAGAGTAATGCTGTGAGCTTTTAGTTTTCTTAATTTCCTTTTTTCTTCCTTCCCTTTTGGTTACGGGGGGAGGGATTTGATTTTAGCTTTTGTTTAGTATACTCAGAAAACATATGTAAACTAACATCTCCTTCCCTATTACTTCAGATCTTCCCATTATCATTTCTTACCTATACAATGGCAATATTCTTCTATCAGGTTCTTCTTGCTTCTAATCTCTTGATCCTGATAAAAATCTAGTCTCCAGGGTTATAATGTCACTATGTATTCTTTTCTTTTTTAAATTATATCAAACTATCCCAGAAGCAAGAGTTTATACATACTCTGCTTTCCTACTTAAGATGGACCACCTACTATAATCTTGACATAGCTTTATGTTTTATCAGAAAAAAGTATCTGATTGTTCATAATGTATTTGATTTAAGATAAGTATTTTATCTTTTTTTAATTATCTAAATTTAAATCCACTGGGACTATTCACTCATGTTAGTCATATGGCTTGAAGTACTCTCTCACACACATTTCCTCAAGGTAAAACTAATAGTGAAGAACAATCCACCAGCTCTTCATTTTTATTCAACTCTTATCTTTACTTCACGTTTTGAAATTGCTTAAAATTTCTATTCATCAAACATGCTGTTCCTCATCTCTTTGTCTTTTCTGCCATCTTTTGAACCTACCACTCAGACGGACTTCTACTTACTTAAAACACCTTAATTAGTTAAAATACCATTGCCCATTAAAAGGAACTATGGCTACCAGAAGAAAGGACTGATCCTAGACCTGCAATAAGAAAATTCATAGGTATATGGGATTCCTTTTAATAATGCCTGAAAACATGTCAAAATGTACAAAAACTGGCTTAAATGTGTTTCCACTGGCCAAATATGGAACCTGATAATCACAAAGACTAACAATCTGAATTAAATTTAAAAATATATGAGTTCATAGCAATATGTTAGGAGATAGGCGCTGGGGAGGAGATCTTCTTTACAACTCTCAGGTATATAAATGCAGAAAGAATGACAGAATTAGAAAATCACCATTTTGTAACTGTCAGCACAATTTAGGCAAGGGTCAACAATGGATACTAAAACAACTAAGTAAAAAATTGTTGCGACTACAGGATAGATTACATACTTATTATGAGAGGAAAATGGAGAGATCTGGTAATCACAATCTTAACCAATGATGAAACTTAACATCACCAATAAATTGTGACAACTTTGACATGTATCCCTTGATGTGATGCAGTGAGAAATAAACATCACCCATGCAGGACTCTCACTAAAAATGTTGATCCTTAATCTAGTCATAGGAGCTATCAAGGCAAATCCAGAATGTGAAACTCTATATAACTGGTATCTTCAAATAAGTTAATGTCATGAAAAAACAAAAAATGAATGTTCTACATTTAAAAAAAACTAAAATGATATAAAAACCAAATATAAAGCATAAACTAATGGTATGCTGGATTGGGGAAAAAAGGAGACATTCCAAATAGTTGGTAAAGTGTGGATATGCACTGTGTTTTGGATATTACTGAATTAACGTTAATTTTCTTAAACATAATTGTAAAATTGTTTTAGAGTAGCATGTCCTTCTTTAAGACATGCATGCTAAAATACTTAAGAGTTGTGTTATTTTGTCAGCAGTTTATTTACATATGGTTCTCATATCCAGTATATATCATAATAAAAATAAACATAACAAAATGTTAGCAACTGATGAAACTTAGGTATTTGTTGTTGTTGTTGTTGTTGTTTTTTGCTGTAATTTATTGTCAAACTGATTTCCATACAACACCCAATGGTCATCCCAACAAGTGCCCTCCTCAATGCCCATCACCCACTTTCCCCAAGGGATAGAGAAGTGCACATAGGTATGTGCATATTATAGATAGAAGCACACATACCCTAGTGTTTATAGCAGCACTTTCAACAATAGCCAAATTATGGAAAGAGCCTAAATGTCCATCAACTGACGAATGGATAAAGAAGATGTGGTTTATATATGTGTATATATATATATGTGTGTATACACACACACACACACACACACACACACACAAATATACACACGCACAATGGAATACTACTTGGCAATGAGAGAATGAAATCTGTCCATTTACAGCAACGTGGATGGAATTGGAGGGTATTATGTTGCTTTTTTAAATTGAAGCAAAACTGACATACTAGTTTGAGGTATAAAATACGATTTGATAATTGTACATTTTGCAAAATAATAACCAAAATAAGTCTAGTATATATGTATCACCATACATAGTTACAGAATCTTGTCTTGTGATGAGGACTTTTAAGATCTAGTCTATTAGCAACTTTTAAATATGCAATACAGTATTATTAACTATAAGCACCATGCTAAACATTACATCCTATGACTTACTTATTTTATAACTGGAAGTTTCTACCTTTTGACCCTTCACCCACTTTGTTCATCCCCCACCTTGTCCTCTTTTTTATACTTTTCTGTAGGGTTGAAACCTTCAAAATTAAAAGGTGGGAAAAAGTTTTTTTAAAAATCAGTTTGGAAATCATCTCTGGAAGCTTTCCCTATTCCCATCTTCTCCTTACCTTCAGACATTAGGTTCCTTCTTCTGTGTCTATTTCTCTTACAGCACTTACATACTGTACAATCACAATTATCAATTTATATATCTTTGTCCATTACTAGTGTCTGAGCTCCTTAAGACTAACAGCTATTTTATTTACCTTTGCATTCTTAAAAACAATACCTAGCATATGCACAAAAATGGCCACAAAAGATGAAACAAAACTCTAAATCAGACCTTCTGTATTTGTGTATGACCCTTCTCCCCATCAAAAACAGTAATTATAAATTACACTCTCTCTTAAGTATATCCTAGCCATAAGCTTCACCGTAGTAATTGCTTATTAGAAACATGGCTAAGATTGGGGCGCCTGGGTGGCTTAGTCGGTTAAGCGTCCAACTTTCGCTTAGGTCATGATCTCGCGGTTCGTGGGTTCGAGCCCCGCGTCGGGCTCTGTGCTGACTGCCAGCTCAGAGCCTGGAGCCTGTTTCAGTCTGTGACTCCCTCTCTCTCTGACCCTCCCCTGCTCACGCTGTCTCTCTCTCTCTCTCTCTCTCTCCTAGAAATAAAAAAAAATTAAAAAAAAAAAAAAAGAAACATGGCTAAGACCATTTCAACTTGAAAAGAAAAATTCTAAATTAACAAAAGGTATAATTTAAGCTTTCTTATAATGTACATATAAACTTAAACCTATTCAACAATGGTTCATAATATGGGCATATTATTCATTATGTTTTTAAATGTAATATATGCCATCATCATGATTTAAGAATAGAAGTACATTTATCTACCTGGCCCCCCAAACAAGAACCTTAGGAGGCATCTTAGCTACTTTCTCCAACTACCACAATCACTCACTATGTCCCTTCCATGTTTCAATTCCCAATTATCTCCAGAGTTAAGTCTCCCCTTCCCTATTCTTACTGCCACTTGTTAGTTCAGAATTGTTCCCTTCGTATATATTACTGTAGTCTTCTTTCTGTCCTCTCTTCCCCAGTCTAACACAGTTTATACCCAACTTCCACTGATGCCTAAAATACCACCACCATTCTTGTCCATTACTATCCAAAACCTTCAAGTAGGAGCCACATTTTATTACATCCACAACTCTGATGCCCACGGCTGAGTTCTGGGCACATAACAGACCCTCAACACTGGGTAAATGGAGCTACACTTCTCAAATGCCCTCCAAGTAGCCAATGTCAAGAAAACAGATGCCAGTGTGGTTTCAGTGAAACCAAGAGTATATATATTTCAAGATAAAAGAGATCAACAATATCATATATTGGGGTGGGTCATATAAAATTCTCATTTATTGTAAGAATGGTTTTGAGAATAGTGATTACTTCATTCAATGCTCCTCAAAAAGAGATTGTAGGAAATTGAAGAGCCCAGTACTGAAAAGATGAAAAAGTTTCTCTTAGGCAATTTATTTCAGGTTGCTAGGAAGCTCAGTCAAATATATACCCAACTTTAGGGGCACCTGGCTGGCTCAGTTGGTAGAGCATGAAATTCTTGATCTTGGAGTCGTGAGTTCAAGCTCCATGTTGTGCAAAGAGCTTACTTAAAACACACACACACACACACACACACACACACACACGGAATACCCAACTTTAATCACTGGGCATAGGTCAGTGAATGTATATTCATTAATAAAAGCTCTCAATAATCAAAAGTATTTTTATACACATAAATTTTCTTGTATCTCTTAGCAATATTACTCTCAAACAGAGAATACTGTAATTACCTAAATTCAAATCCTACACTATTCTCTGAGGTCGTTAACAACAGTAATGCTTAATAGTAGTATTAATTACATCTCAATTTTGACTGGGCTAGAGACAGCCTTAACATTTTCTCCTTTCTTATAGTAACTGAAGC